TATTTTGTGCAAACAAGGGCCTTTTCAAATTACTGCAATATACTTCAAATTCATATAATATTCCTCATTTTGACATCTGTCATACCTTTTCTCCTCAGAGAATGATGAGACAAAAAGCGCCTAATGCGAAGTACAGCTTGACTTGAGATGTGTTTGTATCAGACTTCCTAAGGCAGCACCCCAACTTGGACAGATGCACAGCTGCTGCAATCAAACCAGTGAAAATAAGTCAAAAAAGGCACAGAAGCATTCGATAAATCATCCTGACAACAGCATGAATCACAAATGTTCAGAATCCAGAAATTGTCAAACATGGAGGCTGCACATTTCTCTTGATTTTCAGGGCTCGTTAGCTGGACTATAAGGCTTACGGCTACATCCTAAACTTATAACTAAACGTAATTACTGTTACTATATGTCTTCAAAACTTTAAAAAAATATAAGCTTGGCTGTCCTGAATGCTGTGGTGACAGCTTATCCCCAGATAATACCAGCGGTTGATATCTCTTGAAGTTATGTGGAGGTGTGCATGCTGAAAGTAAAAATGAAAAAGAAATTAACAATGCTATGAAAAGAAAATACCAAACAGCATTTTGAAGCAGTTCACATTTTTTTTTTTTTTTTTTTTTTCACTTGAACAAAAATAACTTTCAAATTATGCATCAGTGGCAGAAGTAGCACAAAAAGAAACTTATTGACTTGAGCTCTCAGTGGTAAAGAAAAAAAACATTACATTCCTGAACAACTGACTTTTCCCTGTCTTGTTGAATAGATTTTTGCAACTTGAATCCAGAGAGAAGAATCTATCTGCTTTAACAACTGCAATTACTGTCAGCTTTTAGATCTTAGTGCATCGAGCCCTGCCAATAATGTATTTTATATATGCCATGGATTCTTCTAAAACAATTCACACATTTTTGATTTACTTTGAATGTATGCACTTACAGAGGACTGTTCCGCTGCCTTGTTAATAGGCTTTAATTTGTTGATGACAGAGCTTAAGGGTAACAGTACACAAAATCCACGATTCGGAGTATCTCAGAGTTGGGGCCAGTTCAGTAAGGTGGGGAAAACAAAAAATGTTTTTATTCATTTTTTTTCTTTATGCATTTTGAAAGATGTAAACATTCAACAGTGGCAGTTATGTGGTGTCCTGGTAGCTCATCTGGTAGAGCCCCATGTCCTATATCCCATTGACAGTACTAAGAGACAAAAGTCCCTGTTGCAGTGGCCAGGGGTTCGAGTCCCTTTGCTACGTGTCATCCTCTTTTCTCCCCCTTTCCTGTCTACCTTGAGCTGTCCTGTAAAGCCAAAAAGCCCCAAATAATATAAAAAAAAATAATTATATTATATTATTTCTATAAGATTAAACATTGGCATATCATCAATAAGAAAAAATAAATAACACAGATAAATAAGATGAACGTCACTAATAAGTTATAACACAAATGTTGGGATTTGCCTTTCAGTCTGTTTATGGTGATGACGTCATAAATAACATGTTAGAATTGTTTCCGCAGACGGACCCAACATCAGTTGAACAATGTCTGCATACACATTGTCTGACACTAATATTTTTTCAATTTTCAGTAGATCTAAATGTCATAGGGCGGTTTCAGCTTTTCATGTCATGTTGATGTGATGCCTTTACAATAGAACCATTAACAATATGAATCATAATTGGTGCTATTAATTCTCTTATGTATATGATGCCATGTAACACTTCAAAACCAATTACTGTCACTCGGTGAAATTCTCTCCATGAAAACACCAAGGCTAAAACATAAAATTATTGTCTCTTCACAGTTTAATGACTTTTTCCACAACAGCTCTGTGTCCTTCAGCTCAACTTTCCATATAAAACCACTGTTAGCAAAAGCACTTCATAAAAACACTCAGCAGGAGGAAGTCCACCCCATTGCCCTCGGCACAGCCCTCCAATATAACCTCGACTTCATCTCACGGCAGAAACGGCTGTTTGATATTCCCCACCATAAATGAAACATATTCTGTGTTTTGCCAGACTGGCTCGTCTCTGCCCTCTGGTTTGATTCAAGAGTACCTCTGCTCCATCTTTATGCAAAGCACACTGATGAAGAAGCCACTTATCATTAGGTGTCTGCCATTGTTATACATCAAGGTTTCATGTTATCAGCTAATATATGCATTATTAATCCGGACGAGGTACCGCGCTATGTCTTGATGCATACCTATTAGCAGGGAGGGATATTAATTCCTGCCCACGCCTACTCCTCATCAGGGGAAAGAGAAGCTCACATGACAATGTTGTCAGCTACGGAATATTGTAGTAGAATGATCCTGGTTTATCCTGTATAAAAACAAAGTGGTGCACAGATTCTCATATATGAAAATGCTCAGTCACAGTCATCCGGAGCAGAAGTATTTACCATCAGCATGCTGTGTCTGTGAACAAAAAATAAAGGAACAGAGTATTGTTAACATAAAAAAAAAAAAAAGATTTGTATCATGCTAAAGCCCGTCATAACCTTTTAGATGACAGCTGGATTTATACTTTTCATAAATATATATAAAAATATTTTGTAGTTCTTTTTCAGATTTCACTCATTGATTTGTTGTAGTACCATGACGTCACTTGATGAACGTGTTACCAGGCTGTCTCATGTTCTAATTTTATACCCAAAAGAAATTGTGTTCCCATTCTTTTATTGACTTTGTAATATAAAGCAACCAATGATTGTACTATTATTATCTATTTTACTGTTTAGTTTAAAAAAAAAAAAAAAGAATGCACAATGCAGATAACAATTTGTAATTGCAACAGTAATGTCTTTGGATTGGAAATTCATTGTCTGCCTTTAACCCAGTGTTAGGGTGGGTTGGGTAGCCACCAGCTCCAGTTTTAAGCCAGTGCCTTGGTGAAGGGCACTGACAGGAGAATCAATCTAAAATACATTTTTGTGATGACGGGGTAAATGGGGGTAAATTGGAGGAACCCCATGCAAACACATGGAGGACATGCAAACTGCACAGCTAGGTTTCGAACCTGTAAGGCGAGACGGCTAACCACTGATCCACTGTGCTGCCTATTTAGAATGATACAATGCAGAGAAAACAACCACCTGTCTCATGTTCATGACTTTGCTTGATAAATGACTGAAATGATCTTTGCAGCAAGCAATTATTTTTCAAAGAGAGCATAAATCGGAAAAGCTTTAGAACAGCAAATGTGTAAAAGCTGACATGAACTGAATAGGTTGAATTTTCTTTCATTTTACACTACTTCACGCCTAGAAATCATGTTACACAAAAAAAAGGGAACTTGCTCTACATTAAAGCTGTCTATATATCAGCTAGCTTTGCTGTCTCATGTGACACCTTGCAAGCAATTCCAAAAGTCTATATATAGTAAACATCCTTTAAAGTATTAAACACGCTCACTGTTGTAGCCTAAACAGGGGTGGCATCCCTGTAGTACTCAATAATCCCTCTCAAGATTTCCAAACAGAGTCCCATGTGCTACAGCAGTGGCAAGCAGATGACATGCAGCATTAGAGATGGAGTGAAGAAGAGAGAAGGAGAGGAAAACAAGGAGGGAGGGTTGGGGTGGAGATTGTCGAGCTGTTGCTCTGTGTTATGTGTCATGTAGAAGCAGACTGGAGAGGAGAAGAGGAGGTATCCGACGGCAGGGGAAAGCTGAAACCCCCAGGGGGGAGGTTTGTGTCAGCCACATGCTCCGGCTGGTCCTCACTGAGCCAAGCCTTTTGTTATGCTGATTTACTCTGTCTTTTGTCCAAGACACTGATGGAGTGCGTGTGTGTGTGAGGGAAGAGGGTGAGAAAGACTGACAGAGTTTAGAACATATTGCAGCCTATATGTAGAGTAGACGTATCAATAATCACATATTTAGAGGATATAGAAAATAATAGCAGCACCTAGCAATATCTTATTGTCCGACACCACAGTTAAAAAATACAAATTGGAAATGTTCAATTGATGATGAGACTGGGTGAAAAAGTTGTTGATCCAACTCTTTGGTAATCTTTCGGGGTAATGTTTTGTTATGTTGGATTATAAATCTATTATAAAAAAAAGAGGGTTCCATCATTTTCTCTCAGTTATCATTCAGTATTCGATAACTTTGCAGCCACCGGTGCAAGAGATGTGTTGGAGAGGTGTTGTCATCACATATAGCTGTATGATGACATATATTGGTCCAAGCAGAAAATTTGACTTGTTCACCATCAACATTAGTCACGGTGGCGGTGACAGTAGGTTCAATATAACAGACATAAAAAAGGCAATACATCGCTAGGCGGTAATGAACAGCAACACATTACAGAAAGGTTCGCTGGAAGATGTAATGTTTGTAAAAAGCAGGAGGGAGTTTATACGTTTGCTTTCTGTCACTTACAAAAGAGATTAGGAGTCTAAAAGCATGGCAACACCAAACTCTGTATACTCACAGCGTATATAAAATCATAATTTACACCTAAAAAAACATGAAACTTTATTCAGGCAAGCACTGTATCCTTTAGAAGCAAATTTGTCGGAATTGTTTGGAACTTTTATTATTACTATTATTTTGCCTTTAAATGTAAGGAAAACCTCTGTTTCCCAGAGCCAAAGGTAACATCCACAAATGTCTAGTCCACAGTCCAACACCAAAAGATATTTAATTTACAATGATAATCAAAAAGAGGAAAGCAGAAAATCCTCACATGGGAGAAGCAACCAGGGGGGAAAAAATGCCTCAAGAGATTAATCGATTGGCAAAATAGTTGCTGATTAATTTTCTGTTGCCCGACTCATCGATTAAGTGAAGCTGATTCTGGCACTGGAAGGATGAGAAGTGAACGTAATCAAGGGGATAGTAGAGTGAGACGAGGAGTGTAACACACACACACACAGAGAGAGAGAGAGAGAGAGAGAGAGAGAGAGGTTGACAGAGGGTGGCCCTCTACCCAGCGTCCAGCCCCCAACTTTGACGTCACAGGCTGAGAGACACAAAACAAGCCACTCTCAGCTGAGCTCCTCACTCGATTCTTCACTCACACACACTCACGCCTGCCCTCAGACACTTGCTCTGACACTCGCTCAGCCCTGAGCCACGGTGCGTACAATCATCGTCTCTCCACCACAACACTGCACTCCAGCAACAAGAAAACCACTTGGTCTCTCACTCCTCAGGACTGAAACATGCTCCGTCTCTTGTGAGTGATGCACGGTTCTGTATGAAGCTGCCGACCGGAGCACACGCGGCAGAAAGGAGCTCTCCACAACCCCCCAAATCCCCCAACCTGGACCCCGTCCCAAAGAGGCAGCAGATGTGACAGAAGAGGAGTGGCGGAGAGAGAAAGAGAGAAAGACAATCTCCCCCACCCCTCCTTCCCTCATCTGGGAGAACAATACCCAGCCTCCAGTAGGAGAGGGTCAGCTTTTGTCCTTCTCCCCACGGTCCCGCTCAAGAGCTGAGAGCAGACAGACGCGGTGACACATTGACCTGCTGCTGTGAGAGGAGAAGACAGTGCAAGAACAGTTGCTGCGCTTTTTCTGGGTTTGATTCAGTACTTGGATAGCTCCCGAGCGGCATACCAGCCTGTGAGCGTGTGTCCATGAGCGTGTAGATTCAACTGGTTTTGTTCGGAGACAGAGAGACGCAGATGCAGCCCCCCTGTTCGCTCCAGCTTGGCCTCTGCGGCCCCTCTCCGTCCCAGGGATCCCAGGGCAGCAATGCCGGCCTCCAGCAGCTGGAGGAGAAGCAGCTCTTTGAGAAGTTTTGGAGAGGGACTTTCAAGGCTGTGGCCACACCAAGACCGGAGAGTGTCATCGTGGCCAGCATCACCGCCCGCAGGAGGGTGACCAAGTGAGTTCTCTACTGTCTGATCGCAGTCACACATCTTGTGTTTGTCCAGCCATTTGAAACATGTTTGCTGTCCAGCTTCTCCGGGGAGAGTTGTCAAAGATCTCTCCTTTGCAACACATGCTTGTTTATACAAAACATCAGCAAGTGGTTGTGGAGAGATTGCTAAGAAGGACACAGATTGTTTGTTTGTTGACAATATTCTAAAGGTACTGATGCCAGTACCACTTAACTCATCTTTTGTGTCACATACTGTAACCTTGTTGTGTGCACATACCAATACACTAGCTCACAAGACATTTGATTCCAAAAGGTCCTAGAAGTTACTGTAAGATATTTTTTTGAGAAATTCACATTTGATGTTGGATTTTTTTCAAGTCACACAAAGAACAAGTTGATCATATCTCCCAAAGTCAGTCTAGTCCCAAAGACCATGCTTGTGGTAATTTACAGGTCAACAGACAGCTATCTAGTTGAAAACTGCTGTAAATTTGGATAAAAAGTAACTCTCATGAATGTCTTGGTGGCATTAAACCATTGTTTCAACAGCATTTCACTGACTATGTTTTAACATGTTAGAACCTGCTATTCTCTTGAAATACACTCAGATAACAGTTATGAATACCTTCAGTTTTTATCCAAATTCAGCCCTCCTTGACACCTTTACCATCTTTTGACCCACAAATGAGTGTTTACAAGGGCATCAAAACATGTCTTTGGTGTCAATTTATCACCAAACACTCATTTGTATGATCTCTCTTCGCTTTTGCATGCAGTCGGACACATGTGACATACAGCCAAACACAGCTGGCGTGAGCAGTGCAATGTTCAGTTAATTGTCCCCTGTAAAGGTCATGTGGCAGCATCGTCATGCCTCTAATGTCAGACTTGTCCCTTCTTCCCCCCTGTGACATGGCTCTGTGCCAGTGCCTGTTGAAGGAGCAACACGTCACGTTTGTTCCTTCACTTTCATCCCTCCGACCAAAGGTTAGCTGTGGACTTGCAGCCTCAGAGGGCAGGAGAGGGAAGGATGAATTATCTGTTGCCCTTTCTCCTCTTTGGCTTGTCAGTTTATCCTGTCTTTGCTCCTGTGTGCACGATCAACCATCAGCCATCTTTTTATCCATGCACTGCTCTGCCCGCTGTGCGTCAAGCACTTCACAATAGTGGCAATGACACTCCTTCGCCTTTGAGAAAGGCTTACAGTCTATGTATAAAAGAAAACCTAACAAATGGTCCAACAGGTGGAACAATTACACAACTACACACATTTGCAAATGCGTACTTGCATATCAAATGATGTGGCTTGCTTGGGTGACCTTTGAATGGTTTTTGACATCCACTATCAACTTTCTCTTATGTGAAATTAGCTATGTTAATGAGGATTAGAATGGCCCATTTCATCCTGCATCGGCACAGGCAGCAGAAAGACACACTGAACCAGATAATGTGCCTTTAATGGGTTCTATTACAGCAGGACCATAATGCTGCACATGGCGTGGTTATAATTTTATTAGCTTGTAGGATATGACAAAAAAAACCACTCTATTGCAAGAATATGACCAAATATCTTTTTTTTCTTTGCGCACCAGCTCAGCAATCTAAACAAATAAATTGCAGCCTCAGTTTTTCTGTCAATCAACCAAATACTATAGATTTAGATCTATTTGGGGAAACTGGCAAAAGAAAAAAAAAGAAAAGAAACAAAGCAAATAAACCCACAAAAAGTGAAATGTAATGTATCTGGCTACTGTGAACTGAGCAGCGTTGCTGAAATAGCCGAAGACTCTGGATCAGGGCCCAGCTGTCTCTTCAGTTTCAGCTTCTCTGGGAAAGAAGCTCTCCTCAAGTGGCTTTGCCCCTCCACGGGCTCCGTCCGGGTGACAGTGACAATGATGGCAGCATGGCAGGGGCAGGCAAGAGCGAACGTCCCCAGAGAGCAGACATAATGTTGCTAATTCGGGTCTGTTTGTGAAAGACGACTGCATGGCGTCTTCGTCGTCCACCGCTCCTTTCTCACCCCGCCTCTGTGTATATTTGCAAAAGGGTGTAATGCAGAGGGAACTGTGGGTGATACAGATTGTAAATAATGAGTAAAACACAACAAACAAACACAACGCCCAGAGAATATGGATGCAGGAGGAGGCTCAGGCATACTCCCTCCCCGCTGCACTGTTGATTTTGCCTGAGCAGAGTGTGACCAGGGAATGCTTAGACCATCAGAATACATGGCCTTAGGCCTGCTCCTCTGCCTCTTTCTCTCCAAGAGGAAACATCATTATTCACTGTGGATAACTGAGGGGTGATGAACAATTGCAGTGAAAGTGAGGGGGCATTATGTACAACAAGCAGAGAGGGAAAGAAGAGAGGAGACACGGGGGAGCCACAGGGAGACATTTCATGTTCAATCAGGAAGGGTCTTTTTTCTGTTCACACCGTACTCGCCTTTCCTTTCTGTTCTCCTCCTTCTCTCTCTCTCTCTTAACTCCTGAATTAAAAATGCTGGAGGGGCCCGAGAGCCACAGAGGAGTAATTAGAGTTTGTTGTTCTCCCTCTGTCCTCCCCTCTCTGTCCTCCCTGTCCTCCTCCTCTTCAGGCCAGTCACACAGTGGAGGGGAGGAGTTCACTAGCTCTGTGCAGTGGGGTGGGGCTCTGCTCGAAACCATTATGACCCTGCAAGCTGTTTTGTCCATGGGGGGGCAACTCATTAAATATGCAGCCTGGCTAACTCTGGGTCGTGTAGTGTGTGTGTGTGTGTGTGTGTGTGTGTCTGTGTGTGTGCATGCGCGCGTGTGTGTGTGTGTGTGTGTGTGTGTGTGTGTGTGTGTGAGCGTACTTGTGTGCATTCATGTGCATCTGTACTGGAAATGTTTTCCAGCAATTGCAAGGGTTTAAAATGAGGGTGTACACTGTGTGTGTGTATGTGTGTGTGTGTGTGTGTGTGTGTGTGTGTGTGTGTGTGTGTGTGTGTGTGTGTGTGTGTGGCTGCCGTGTTAGTGGGGTCTCGTCCAACTCTGAGGCAGATGGCAGGCTCAAGTGAATGCAATGCAAGGGAGGGGGGAGGTGTGTGTGTGTGTGTGTGTGTGTGTGTGTGTGTGTGTGTGTGTGTGTGTGTGTGTGTGTGTGTGTGAGTGTGTGTGTGTGTGTGTGTGTGTGTGTGTGTGTGTGTGTGTATGGTCGGGGGTTTCAGGCCTCTTACCTCAGCAGATGCTGGTTTAACGAGAAAGAGAGGGGCTTGTACACTGACAGCACCAGTGGGAATATACAGCGGGGTGGACAAAATAACAGAAACACCACAGCTTAGAATGCAGTGAAATCCAACTACAGGCTGAAAAATGAGCATGAAGTTAAATCAACAATCAAGAGTGACAATCGCATGCTTAAAACTAGATGGGCCAGTGGAAAGATACAAATTGAATAATGGATAGAATATTTTGTCCCATGGTGTGAAAGACAAAGACATCTAGAGAGCAGGGAAAGGGTTTTATGGAGGCTACTGTCTTTTCCAGGGTAGTCGAGCTGATCGCTTCAGAATGAGTGAACAAAGGAACTGGCCAGAGGACAGATGTAGCTTTCACATGATGGGGGTTAAATTTGTAGTCTGATCTTCTTTGTTTTATTGATAAAATAATTGAGGAGCTCTTCATTTTCTGTGGCAAACTTTGGAGGCTAAACAGAAAGCTTATCTTTTTTCCAAATTCTTTCTTCTTTCCTGCACTTTCTTTTAATGGGATCATTTAACTAGGAAGAGTGTTTATGCTGTAATGTCTTTAAAAGGTGCAATTTTATTTTAAATGCTGCAATGTATTATTAAAACCAGCTTGGGTGTTATTTTCATTTTGGCCATTCTATCAGTTATAATAACACCATTTTAATAGTTAATAGTTGAAATCAGGGAATAATATATTCCTACGACAAAGTGTGATAGAGCAAGGAAGACATAAATCCAGAAGATCTGAAACGTGTGTGTACCTGAAATGATAGTAATAGAGTAGGAGGAGCCATGTTGAGCGCCACTAGTTTTGAAGTAAAAAATATGAGGTGACTGGCATGCTTACAACTGCATGAAACTCCTCTGGTTGAAACATTGGTACCAAATATGAACTATTGCGTTTGAAAATACCTGGGTCTTTGATAAAAAGTCAAAGAACTTAAGAAATCCACTATGATTCCCATGGTGTAGTTCTATAACAAACAGCCAATTACAAAGATCAATAATTACATAAGTTACATGCACCACTAACAGCGGATGCAAGCTCAATATTACTCTGTTGTGAAAGCTGACAATACAATCTGCAGCCTAAATGAATTCACTTTAGGATTCTGGGTCAGACTGGGTCAACTGCAACAAAAAATCATTTCGATTTGGTACTGCTGACGCTCATGAGTATTGTAGTATTTGCCACTTTGCAACTCTATAGTCCCCCATTGCACAGGAACTTGTGTGTACACAACTTTAGATGTATGATTAGGTCATAATTGAATTCAGAAGTTGTTCTGTAAGCTGTGATGAATGGAATCCTCCTCAAAATACATTTGGGGGGTTTGTACAACCTGTATAATTGTCAGAACACATGTGTTCCTTGCCTCATCAGACTTGATTTCAGCCATGTTGGCCAATGTTAAATATAATAAACAAGAATTATCTTTTAAGAAGGTTTTAATGCTTTTGTGTCTCCTGTGTGATTGCAGAGAAAATCTTCCACAAATACAAACAATACAGGCTTTAAAATGTTCAGAGTGTAGAAATAAATGAATATAGGGTATAGAGTCTGAAAAACATCAAGCGGTAGCAGTCAGCGCTCCCCCTGCCAAAGCACCTCTCTCTCTCTTTCTCTCTGAGAGAATGACAAACATGATTTAGTGACGGACAAGGGGTTTGTCTGCCGTTATATATCTCTCTGTCTGTGCTCCTGCTCTCTTCATCGCGGAGTATCTTTACCCGACTTCCCTCCCTCTCCTAACATCAGTATCTCTCTCCTTCCTTCTCTCAGTATCTTTTC